GAGTCCCTGATCCCCATCTTTTCCTGGTCCTGCCCACCTCCCGCCCAGCTCCCAGCCTAGCCTGGGCTCGTGACAGTAGCCAGTCCCCTGCCTTTTTCTCCTCTGTAGAGTGGAGTCTTGTTCGACTGAGAACCTGGAGCTTCGGAAGAAGGTGGAGGTCCTGGAGAACACCAATCGGTAAGTGTAGCTGAGGGACAGGTGACCAGCCGTGACGGGAGGGGAGGTGGGGCCGAGTCCAGGGCCAAAGATGGAGGAAAGTGGGAGACCACAGGGTAAGTACAGCTGTGCCCGGTGATCAGGGCACCTCAGTTCCACCCAGGCATCCTGCTACACACGCACATGGGCTGCACACACACATGCGTGCATACATGTGCATACACATAGGCTGCACATGTGCATGCACATGCACATACATGCACACAGTGCAGCATCCAGATGTACATAGTACACACCCATGCGCATGCACACACATCATATAACATGTCCATACACACAAATATAGCCCATACACACATGCATGCACACATACCACACACACATGTGCAAGCACACACATATACATGCACACGTGCACATCACCATGCACATTACCATCCACATGCAAGCACACACATACATACACATGCACACACATGCACACAGCATGGCACACGAATGCACATAGTACACACATACATGCACATGCATGCACACATAAATGTAACGTGCGTGCATACAAACATAGCAAATGCATGTATGTGTGTACATAGTACAACACAAATGCACATAGCACACATACATGCATGTGCACATACCATGCACACACATGGATGCACACATGTATACAGATGGATACACATAGCACATGCACACATGCACATTAGCATGCACACATAGCACATACACATGCAAGCACACACATGCGCAATACAGAAAATACACGTACATGGATGCACACACAGCACATGCACACATACCATGCACACATATATGCATGCACATGAGCACACATGCATACACGTGGATACACAGCACATGCACACATGTGCCAACATACACACATACACATGAAAATACCATGGCTTGGGTTGGCTGCACCTTAGCCATCAAAGTGACGTCTTTGCTCCTTAAAGCTTTAAAGAGGGCTTTTGCAGTGGATTTGCCCAGTGCAATACGTCGTCTGATTTCTTGATGCTGCTTCCATGGGCATTGATCGTGGATCCCAGTAAAACGAAACCCCCCGACAACCTCCATCTTTTCTTTGTTTATCGTGATGCTGCTTATCGGCCCAGTTGTGAGAGTTTTCAGCTGAAGGGAAAGGCCCAGAGAAGAATTGGCCAGTGGTGGGCCTGATTCTCCTCAAAATGACATCAAGCTGGAGAGGTGTTTAAGGAGCACTGGCCACTTCCCAGCCCCCCAAGTTCATCAGTAAATGGTCTTTGTTAATGAAGAACAAGGAAATCCTTAAGTTTCGTGTTTTGAAGAATAACCGTGGGGCAGAGTCAGTGCTGAGCCCTTCTGGTACTTCCTGTGCCGGGTCCCATTTCCAGCACTTTGCAGTCCTAACTCATTTGACCTGCCAGCAGCCCCTGGGGTGGTTCTCTTCCTGTCCCCGTGTAGAGACGAGGAAGTGTGCTCACAGAGGGGAGGTGGTTCACCCAGGAAGTGCTGGCACTGTGAGTGGACCGAGGCCCTCTGCCCCGGAGCCCCTGTAAGGGGCATTTTGGGATTTCTCCCTGGACATACACCAGAGAAGGAGGCTCAGGCAGAGGCGGGCAGTGTCGGCCGGAGCCCGCGTGTGCACGTGCACCTGTGCTGGGAAGATAGCAGCACTCTTTAGCCAGCCGTCCTCCACCCTTACAGGTGCAGGTCCCGTCCCCAGGCAGACTGTCTCCGTCAGCCACTGCCCGATCACAGTGTCACAGATGTAGAGGGGGTCAGGTTACACCTCCCCTGCACTGTCTGCTAGGAACATTATATTTGACGGCCATTTGCTGAATTTTCATGGTTGGTAGCTCAAACAGTAGGCTAACCACCTTCTAAATGAGATCGAATATGTGTGGAGCCCACTCCTGGCCTGTGCTGGCCCGGCTCGTGGGGCTGTGTGCAGAGGAGGCTGGAGGGTGCGGTCGGCGCCCTGAGGCCGAGGTGGGAGCTGTAAATGTTAGTTGCCACAGAGTCAACCCAGGTGACCTGTGAACCACAGAGCGCTGCAGTTGTGTGCCACATCTGTGAGCGTTGGTGGCACTGAGTAGACCCCCAGGGCCACGTCCACTCTGCTCTGTTGTGCTCCTTGGGGTTTTCATTGGTTAATTTTGGGAAGAAGATGACTAGGCTGAAACGTGTCCACCACGGGTGGCCCTGTGGGTATTTGAAATACCAGTGATATAGTTTCCAGCCTCACAGCAACATGGAAGTCCTGGAGGTAAGACAGACTGACAGACGGTGGAGGCGAGGCCAGGGCGATGTCAGATCCATTCAGACTGCTGGTTTCACTGCCCGCCTCTACCCTTTGTCTCCTGGGGCTTCTCTGCGCCCCCCTCCAATTCCTAGGCTAGAGTCTTCAGCATCCTGAGGAGCAGTGGCCTCTGGGAGGGGCCCCACGTTCCCAGTGGGGAGATCCCCGGCCACCAGTGGGTGAACAGGGGACCACGTGGTTTGTGTCCAGGGTGGGTCTTATCCTGGGCTTCAGTTGTCAGGCCTCCCCTCTGCCACGTGGGGGCAGCAGAGAGGCAGCCAGGTTGTGGACCAGGTGTGCGCTCCCTGCCCCTGTGAAAGGTCACCCATCCTGGCCGGCCTAGCTTCCCTGCAGTTTTTAAACTTAAAAAAAAAAAAAAAAATCCACAAGTAATAGAGGCCCGTTGTGAATGAAAATTAGAACTTATCATTAAAAAAAGTAATAATCACAATCCTTTCATCCAGAAGTTAGGAGTACTTTATACAGAGCCCCTGGGTGGCACAAGTAGTTAATGTGTCTGGCTACCAGCTGGAAGGTTGGAGGTTTGAACCCCCCAGAGGCACCTTGGAGGAAAGGCCCAGCAGTCACCGTCTGTAAAATCAACCATTGAAACCTGGAGGCAGTGCTCTGACACGCGAAGGCGCACAAGTCGGTTGACAGCAGCTAGTTTCTAGAATTTTATTGTTTGCGCTGCCCCTGCCCCTTTGTTAAGGGATTTCCCATGTAACAAAGTTTGCTGGACGTCGTCATATCAGTCATCTGTCAGAGCGCGTCAGTGAGTGACAACTCAAGGCACGCTGACGTGAGGTGCGTGAGATTCCATGGTTTGCCAGCTGTTTGTCTCTTTCTCAGTAACCGCCATAGTGACTCCACATGATGTTCGTTACTGTGCAGTACGGTTAGTGGGAGCATCCAGCCTAACGGAGCCTGGGAACCTGGCCAGCACCACGATCTTCCCCGAGCATCAGCGGCCATCTTGTCTGTCTTGTTTACTGACAGGCATTTAGCTTCCTTGAACTCCAAGAAAAAAACTACTTCTGAAGGGTGGGCGGTTCGAATTCAGCAGCTGCTCTGTGGGTTAAAAGACCTGCTTCGTCAAAGAGGACAGCCCTGTGGGCAGTTCTGCTCCATCCTGTAGGGTCACTGTGAGTGGGAGTCGACTCGAAGCACCGCCAGCCACCGCCACCTCTTGGTACTGGCATCTCGCCTGTCCCCCAGCCACGGCTGCTGCTGAGTGTGCCGGGGTAGAGCCCGGCCACCGGTTGGGCAGGCTCGTTTGCGGAGATCCTTGTCCCTCCCCCTCCCCAGGTGTTCATTGCCGTCGAGTTGACTCTGACTCTTGGAGACCCTGCGTGTGCAGAGCAGAACTGCCCCACAGGGCTGCCAGCTGTGACCACACACAAGCAGATTGCCAGGACTTTATTCCGAGCACCTGCAGGTGGTTTAGATGGCCAGCCTGTCAGCTGGGCCTCTGCAGTGCACTGGAGAGGTCATCCAATTCAGCCTCTAATCATTTCACGTCACGGCGGAGGAAAGGGGCCTGGCCATGTGCAGGGCATGCAGGCATTCAGGGTGCACGGTCCGAGCACACAGCTTGTACCAGTGAGCTCTTCCAGCCTCACCTCGATTCCTCCTCTGCTGTGCCTGTCTGTGTCTCCAGGGCCATGGCCTTCCCTAGCTCAGTCCTGACCTTTGACCCTGCTCTGAAGCCAGTGTTGGAGAAGGGTCTGTACTGGCTTGAGTCCCACGACTGGCCGTGCCCTCTCCGTGGTGCACGTAACAGCAGGGCCAAGGGGACTGGGCTCCTGGAGCTTTCCCCACCCCGTTTTAGGACACACTGGTACTTGAGATCCCGGAAGTCCCTGTCCAAAGGACCCTAGCCTATTGACAGTGTGTGGACCACTGTCCCAGGTGTATTCTCCGGAGGGTAGACCAGGTCACCTGTGTGCATACCTTAAGCCCAGGGGATATCCAGAGATGGCTCTTGGTGAGGCTGAGCCTGTCCGCAGGTGTGTACATGACATCCTGTGTGGTGTGTCTGTCCGGGATCCAATTATTGCCTATTTGCAGAAGACACGTGCCTAGATTGCTTCCTGCACCAGAAGCAAAGGGCCTGACTGCTCGCAGGTCAGCATGCACGTTAGCACCTCTGCAGACATTGTCCTGTCAAGGCCCCCAGTGGTCCAGGTGGCCACCGTGCACACGGCTTCAAGTGCAGCCGGGGACCCCGAGCCTGGAGAGCCCACCGCTCTCCCAGAAGCAGTGAGTAAGGCTGCTTTCTGTCCACGGGGAGACACTTCTCTCTCCAGGTGACAAGCTTCACGGACCACCTGAGAAGCAGCCCAGATAAGAGTGGTGTGTGCCCTGCAGTCCTGGTGTCCCCAGCCCCATGTGCGCTGGGGCTTGGCAGGCTCATGTACATACCACCCTGAGGAATCGTGAGAGAGTCCCAGGGTCCTCAATTCACACCTGACCTCACAGGGAGTTGGGGCAGGTGCTGGGCATCTGGCCGGGTGTTTGCCTGGCTGGGAGTGGAGGAGGGCCTGAAGGTGCACGGTGCGTGGGCCTCGTCCGTGTCCTTTCCCCGGAAGTGGGGGTGTGCGCCGGCCAACAGGCTTCCCTGCCATCATAGGTGAGAATCCCGTCGTCCTCGTCCACTACCTTCCTCTGCAGCTGTCATCTCTCCCTGCGACTCCGCTCTGAGATCCACACGCGACTCTTGGCGAAGCTGCTTCTGGCCGAGCCCCTGGCTCCGCCTCCTGGCTCTGCTCTGCGTGTTTAGCCCACACGCAGCTGTGTCCCTAAGCACTGGTTCCTCTGTTTGCTCCCTGCACGGTATCGTCGTCTGTCTGCTTGAGTTGGACCAGCGCTGGCGCAGCCCAGCCCGGCCGTGCCCAGGAAGGCGAATGTCCCACTCGCTCTCCTGGGCCCT